AAGATAAGGCATACAAAGTGGAGGAAAAATCAAATTCTTTTGATTTTAGTAAGAAAAATGAAAAAAACATTTTTTTTCTTTTTGCTTCCAGATTCGTGAATCAAACACAGTGTAAAAAAATCATTTAATTTTTATTTTCTCTGATGTAGCTCATCTTTTTTTGGAACAAATTTAAGCAGTTATACTTTGGCTACTGACTAGGAACAAATTAAGGCATAATTGTTGTTATTATATCAGAATTCAGAAGTGTGACCCGTGACCCAACTCTTTTAGTCATTTTTTGTGGAAGATGTGAGGTCCATTGTCATTATTATTGAAACGTACTGCTAATTAAGGCCGGCAAAAAGCATCTTTCATTGTGTTTTGCTTCGATGGCCTTTCTTTGCAACTTGCTTAATTAGTAGTCTATTTAGGTAGTTGGTTGAGCCACTTTTTTTTTAATAAAAAAAATCTTGTTGTCGTTGTCAATAATTGGATAAACGTGGAATAAAGAGAAATATGTAGGGTCCATTGGGACAATGTCAATAATATAATACTCCTATTGTCCCCAATTTAATTACAAACGGGGATTTACGAGAAAAAATATTTCACTTTTTGAAATTATTTTGTTTACAAATTAGTATATCGATAATAAATGAAAATTACATATTAAAAAACTACGTCAAAAGTTCTACAAAATAAAAAGTGTGACAAGAATATTTTATTTTATCAAATACTTAATGATATCGCGTAAACAAAAAAATTATAAACAAAGCTCTTTTCTCGTTTAGAATATTTTTATTTACAAATTACAAAATATTTCCTAAAAAATATTTTTCATTGTTAATATTTAAAAATCAACATTAAAAAGTGCACAAGTAATAATGTTAAGTACAATTTAAGTTACACTCCATGTCACTAATATGCAATTATAATGGACTAATCTTTTTTTTTTGTTGTGAACTTAATTAATTGCATGGGGGAGCGTATGGACTAGAGAGCATACTCCTACTAGGCGTGCGGAAGGCACGTGCCAAAACCCGCAGACACACTCTTTATCCCCTTTGACCAAAATCATTTCAAGTCCGGCACGTGGCTCCAGTGGGGGCCGCACAAACCGGCACACGTCCCGCATTCTCTGCCCTCTCTTTATAACC